TATTTTAAACACTAATTTTTTATATTTTGTAGATTAATTTCTCTCGATATCTTTACTAATTAGAAAAATGTTAAGTGCATTGAATGACATTATTTTCACAGTTATAAAAATTTATTAGATACCGCCTTTAACACTCATTATGTATTGTTTCCTTGCCATAAATTTAATAAAAAGACAAAATTACTCTTTACAAATAAATTTATAAATAAAAATGATACAAAGGGATTTTCATTTTGTATACTAACTCTTCGACAAAGTTTGGTTACAACTTGTCTTATCTATATAATCATAAGTAAGTTAATTCATTAATTTTTTCCAAGTCGTGTTAAGAATAATAAACTATCATATGAATACTATACATGAGTTATGATATGTATAATTAATAAATAATTAAAAAAGATTAATTTTAACATAATATAGTTATACAATTTAAAACACTTGAATCATCCACAAATTATTATGACATAATACACATGAAAGCAAAAAAAGAGAGATTAAACATAAGTTATAAAATGATCAACAATAAAAGACCAATGTAATAAATAAATGAAGGATTCTTATATATACTCAAAAACTCTGTTCTTCATCTTGTAAAGATTCTGTAAATGTAGAATTGGTGATTATTATTAATTAATTAATTGACTAAATGTTAATGTATATAACGTTTCATTTAAAAAAAACTATAATAACAAAAAGAGATAATATTATTTTAAAAACAATACTAAAATACATAGGGTGACTATTTATTGTACTATATAATGAATAGTTTGTGGCACGTAAGATGATGACAGTATATGAAATTTAAATATATTATATAATTGGAAATAAATGTAAAGAGTATTATTTATTTAAAATGAGTCCACCCATAAATTCTTGGATTACCAATAGAAGCCCAGTTGCGTTTAAGGCCAAGCCTGTGGAAAAGTTGAAACCTAAATGGGCCAAACAGCCGAAATCTGTTATACCTGTATCCTGCGAAGACCTCGTTGACCCTGCCGTTGACTCCATTGACCCCGTTGACCAAAGCTAGCCGGGCCGGCAATTGGAGGGCGCCCATCCCAAGAGAGCAACCATCCGACTAAGGTTTGGTCCTGTTTTTTCCAGATTTGATATTCTGGATTTTGAACTCTAATGGCATTTTCTGTTCTTCGATTTTGTGTAATAAATGGATTTAGCATAAGCTCAATCAGGCTATCCAGATCATTAGCTTTGGTTGGAGGAATGACTTGAGTTTTCCGGGTTTTGAAATTGTAAAGTTCTAATTTTTTGGAACTGTGAAATTAAATGAAGCTGAGGATTTTTTTTTTTTTTTTTTGAGATGATGCTGATGAAGCATTTATATTAGTGCTATATTCTGCCATTTTGATTCGAACCTGCTCTGATACCAAGTGAATTTTTATACTTCGGTTGTCAAAAGAAAATATGCAGAGTTCATGAACAGAAAATTGAGAGCAAAAACCCAGAAAATTAGCACTCAGAACTTTAACTTCTTCATATATCTTAAGAATTAACATATACACTGTTTTTACAAAAGAGATGAGGTAAATTTCCAGCAAACTTCTTACAAGGAACATCAAGGACTCTTTTGTGTTTTAGGTGAGTTGTCCTTGTACAGCTCATGTAACAGATTTGCTTCTGCATTGCAGTGTGATTATCTACAGTAATACTAGGCTTACACCACCTTCTCACATCACTCTCTCACATCATGATGTGGCACTGCCATGTCATCAAAAAGCCACACAATTTTCCCCTAAATTATTAAAAAAAATTTAAAAAAAAAAACCTAAAATTTCGTTTGCCCTAAATCTAATCCCCTGAATCTAATCTCTCTCCCAAAACAAAATCATCTGAATCAAACTCTCTTCTTCCCCTAAATTAGAAATCTCTCTCAAAGCCCCAAATTTCAATTCTCAATTTGTTCTGCATGTTACCATCTGCTCATTCTCCGTGAGAAGGTATGCTTTGTTATTTTTTGGCTTGTAAGATTTGAGTAAAAATGAAAGAGATTTGAGAAGTTTGGGCTTGTAAGATTTGAGTAGACAACAATATCTTATTGAATAGATTTTATCCAGTTTGGGCTTTAGCAAATGAAGTCTTTTTTCTAAATTAACTTAGGAGTTAGAGACCTAACTCTTACCCAATAGGAGATTTGAAAGTACCAATGTCTTGATAATGAAATCGACATTCATTCAGTGGAGCCGGAAGAAGAATGGTTCTTTGTCTTGTGATAATACAAGCACATCCTTATCTTGCTTCAGCCTATAGTTTCCCGGGTTCAATTATATCTGAATACCAAATGTCTTTATCTTATCTAGTAAGCGAAAATTCAGTTCTAAAAGTTCATCATTTCAGGAACCAGTTTTTACTTAGGCCAGAAACAATGATATGGCAATTACAAATAGATATCACCTAATGTTGATCTCCATGACATGCTAAGTCCTTCAAAGTAAATAAGCTATAGCAACAGTTCAGTAAATTGAATCTGGAGTATGTTATCTAAATAAGTTTGGAATGCCTAGAATGACAATATGTAATTGATCAAGTTTTCTGGAGATTGATATGAAGACCCTCCTTGCTTATGAATTCATGGAATTGATTTATTGTTTATGTCATGTTTGATTCCCCCTTGTACATGCCTGCCTAAAGTTTGAAGATCAATGCAATATATGAAGTCTCTTTTGTTTAGAGATTACATGTTTTGGAATTTTGGTTCAGTTTTCATGAAAATTGAAAGGATAACAACAAAATAGAATGAACTTAAATAATTATCATAAGTGCACTATTGTTTTTTAATGTAGTCCCCCTTTTTTTTTGCTCTTGGTATAGCTCAAAATCCAATTGCTTGAAATTGTTGTTGACATGCTTTAATATAGGTTTTATTGTTTACATTAAAAGTTTTTGTATGTGCAGACTTCTTAATTGAGCATGCAACCACCACCAATCACAACCGTTTTACACATCCAGTGTCTCTTGCAGCACGACCAATTCAAACCGCACCACTATCGTAAATGGTCGGTGTTTGCTTATCCTCTTCCACCACCACTTTAAAGATGGAGGAGTGTAACTTGAAAAAAGCAGAGAACCATTCCTCTAAATTCAATATGGTGGAGGTAAGTTTATCTTTGTAATCTCTTTTTTATTCATTAATATGATTGTAATTCCTTTAATGGCATTATTTCTACCTTTTCTTAGTATTATTGTATTCTAATTTTAGGCTATTATAATTTCAATATATTAGGGTAATGATTTTCAAGAAATGGAAGATAACAGAAGTCTAGAAGAGGAATGCAAACCTGAACCTGGAATGTTTTATGAATCTTTTGATAAGTTTTTCCAATACTACAAGAGCTATGGGAATACAATGGGGTTTGAAGTTGCTATAAGATCTTCAAGAAAAAGGAGTTGTTGGGGAGTTGATTTATGCAAATGTGGCTTGTTCTTGTGGTGGGAAGCGAGAAAGTAACTCCAGAAATGTTTGTAAAATGGTACCATTGACAAAAAGTGGTTGTAAGACTCGTTGTATTGCATCTCGATGTTCTGATGGAAAATGGGAAATAGTGTCGATCATCTATGAGCAAAACCATGAATTCAGTAGTCCTAGCAAAACTAGATTTTTCAAGAGCAATCGAATTATACAGCCGTATGTGAAAAAGAAGCTTGAAGTGAATGATAGGGCTGGGATTAGACCTAATAAAAATTTTAATTCCTTGTTAGTTGAAGCTGGTGGTGCTTAGAATTTGACTTTCTTACAAAAGGATTGTAGGAATTACATTGAAAAGGTTAGGAGGACCTGACTTGGTGCTGGGGATGCTACTACAATCCAAAAATATTTTTTAAAGATGCAAAAGGATAATCCAAATTTCTTCTATGTTATGGATTTAGATGAGGATGGTCGATTGCAGAATGTTCTATGGGTGGATGCAAGAAGTAGGGCCGCATTTAGGGAATTCGGTGATATTGTCACATTCGACATGACATATTTGACTAACAAGTATGATATGTCGTTTGCTGCGTTTTTCGGTGTTGACCATCACGGCCATTCCACATTGTTAGGTTGTGGGTTAGTCTCCCATGAGGACACACAAACTTTTGTATGGCTTTTTGAATCTTGGTTTGTATGTATGTGGAATTCTGCTCCTAAGACTATAATCACTGATCAGGACAAGGCAATGCAAAATGCAATCGAGATTCATGATTTGCATCAGAATTATGGCCATAAATTGATACCCAGCAATGGTGTAGAGTTAAATTGTGAAAAAGATGTTAAGGTACTTTCAAGAAAATCAAGAAACCAGAAAAGAAAACAGGGGAAAGAGATGCGCAACTCTGATTCTAAAAACAAGTATACAGTGTTCTTTCTTTTCTAACTAGAAGACGAAGCTAAGCTACTTTATACATCTTCAGTCTTAAATTCACCGTATTGGTAAAAACTAAACATATTCAATTTACAAAACTGACCCTCACACACATACTTCAGTCTAATATCCCTTGTTAAACTCAGCATCTTTCTTCACTTCAGTCTAATATCCCTTGTTAAACTCAGCATCTTTCGTATTGGATAAAACAACCAGCAGCCTTCAGCAACCTTTAGTCTAATATCCTCTGTTAAACATAACATCTTCTATATTGGACAAAGCCTTCTTCAACTTCCTGCAATCTTCAGTCTAATATCACTTGTTAAACTCTGCATCTTTCGTATTGAACAAAACAGCACCCTTCAGTTACAGCACCTTTCAGTCTAGTATCCTTTACTAAACATACTACAATTTCCATTATTAGTGACTACAACAACCAACTCACAACCCCTGTACCAGAGTTCATGAAACATCCAAAAAACAATTGCAAAATTAGCAACAAGTATTTGAACAAAAAAAAAACACAGACAACATCCTCCATCTTTCGTATGGAACAAAACAGCACCCTTCAGTTATAGCACCCTTCAGTCTAGTATCCTTTACTAAACAGACTGCAATTTCCATTATTAATGACTACAACAACCATCACACAGACCCTGCACCAGAGTTCATGAAACATCCAAAAACAACTGCAAAAATCAGCAACAAGTATTGAACAAAACACAAACACCATCCTGCATCAGACTTCATGTAACATCCAAGATCAACTGCAGTCCTACATACCAGAAAAGTCATAGCCATAGCAAGCAATCAACACAAACCAACCATTCCTTATAGATTATTCTGGTAAGTGGGCAGAGACATTGAGCTTGTCCTGTAATAAGGTAAATCTGGCACCAGTTAAGGATTTAGTTAATACATCAGCCTTTTGATACTCTGAAGCAACATACTAGACCAACAGATTTTTGCTTGCAACAAGTTCTCTTACATAGTGTACGTTTTGTAATTACAAGTTGATATTCATGAATTGATAGAAATATGAAACAATAGAATTAAAACAAATACATCAGTGTATTAGAGGTGATATATAAGAAAATTAAAGGATTCATACCTTTATTGTGGATCTAACACATACATGGTTAAGTTATTTATTGTACAATTCTCTGCCTTAATTTCCTTGGAATTGTCTTGATCAACAGGTATTCTTTCAGTAGAAAATGCTGGTTGCTTTGGCTTTGATAATTTTACAACATCACTTCCTAACATACAAATAACAGCTGACATAGAGGGCCTGTCCACTGGATTGTGCTCTACACAAAGCAAGGCCACATTAATGCATCTCAAAACTGGGTCTTCAAAACATGAATCACGTAATTTTGGATGAACTAGTTCTAACACTGCTCCTTCTCTCCACAATTCCCAGGCCTGGAAAAAAACCATTAAATTTAAACATTGAGATAATCATTTGTTGGTTTTAATGCATAATTAAAATAATGACCAGATAATAGTAGCAACATGAAAATGATCAAAAAAAATTCGTGGATACCGTTGTTTTCATTAGCCATTGATAATTAATCTGATAAGAAAATATATGACCATATAATATGTAACAGTATAACCAACCCAGTAGTGGTTACTATTAGCGTTGTTTCATGATGTATATATGGATTTTTGTTTTTCTCAGTTTGTAAGGGGTGATTTGAGATTAAAAGAAAAAATCTTAACGTTACGAGTTATGAAAGAGAATTATTATTTTTTATAATTATGAATATGTATGATAGATAAATATGTAATTTAGATATAAATATATTACATATAAATTAAATTATTTTTTATTGTAATAAGCTTTTAATTTTTTTTTTTAATTGTTATATTGATTTTAGAATGATTTTGTATTAATTACTCATTTTAAAAAAATGGACTACTGATTTTAAAAAAAAAAATTGACCCAGATTGCATTGTGGCTGCTTCAACCACTGAGATTAATGACATGTGAATTAAATCATCAATCACAATTTTAATATGATTTAACTTATAACCTACATCCACAAATGAAAGAGAAAGAGGATAATATCTCAAAGAATCAGAAGTGAAAAATTGAAATTCATACAACTTAATAAGCCAAAACCTAGTGTAAAAAGCCCAATAAGAGGCCAAATCTTATAATACTTATTAATTATATCAGCAAATTTGAATCTTTGTAACTTACGATATTTTCCATTGCAGTTTTTCCGTGTGAATAATTATGACCAAGTATGAACAAATATGGAGTAAAATTTATTTTCTTTTGAGTTGGGAGACTTGAGTTACATTTTTGGATGGAGAGTTCGAACGTGATTGAGCGAGAGGGAGTCGCATGGGATGTGGAGAAGACTATATTTGTTGCAGTGGGGAAGAATGTTGAGAAGAGTAAAACGATCAGAGCTTTTTAGGGAAGAAGATTTGCTTGCTTCATGTTCACAAGCCTGCTCGTGTTGTTGCATTGGGTGAATTGTCGTTTAATCCTCTGTCTGGTTTGCGAATTTTATAAGCTAGATGATTGTATTACTCATTTTGTTTTATTTAAAAGGAACAAATGAAGAATATTAATTTCTTTCGGAAAAGAAAAAATGAATTGACTTTCTATTTTCGAATTAGATCTTATACAAACTTTGATCATATTCTAAGTTCTAGAATTTTTCTGATAAATTTGTTGCATTATTTGCTGAGGAAAGTAATTATACTGTCGATGAGCGGAAAAAGCATTTAGTTCTAAGCACCTCGTGAACTTGAAAGGCAAAAAGTGCAAGAAATTCTAAATCAATATTTGCTTATTCTCAATCAATATGAGGTTTTGTTTCTTCTCGGTATTTGATCTGGATTTTATTTTTATGCATTCTAAAACAAAGTTAGAAGAATAATGATTTTGATATCATTTGTAGCGGTTGGTTATACTGCTACATATTATCTGGTCTTATATTCAAAATTCAAAAGAGTTGTTTGATTTTGATATCATCTGTCTATCTTAGACTTCTCATCTGTCTTTCAATTTCTTTCTTTCATCTTTTACCCATTAACGGATTTTACTTGACACAAGTTTAAGAAGCGAAGTGGTACATGACAACACTGAACGAGATAGTACTCTTACATTGAACAACAAGCTTACTAAAAGCAGAGTAGCCTTTATGGCAAATAATGCTCATTTCCTCCTCTCACCAGTGAAAGAAATAATCTTTTAGGTCTAGGTTGAGCTTTTCTGAGTGTAAAGAGATGACACGGTACGTGAAATACTACATTACTCTTGAGCAGATGGAAGTAATTATACATTAATATCTGGATTCAAATCCAAAATCTTTACTTAATTTGTATGCAACATTACTCTTTCTTAAAAAAGGTCGATATGAGCAGTGTTTTCATTAGATTGTGTCAAAACAAATATTGCATATGTGAATATATATCATCCTGGAAATTCCAATAAATTCAGAACTACATAAGAATGAGATCCACCATCAAATCTTTCATTATTATGAGTCGGAAAGCTTCACAAAGTCCAGTAAATGCATGACTTTAACTAGAAATACATTGAAACAATGGCAAGAAAGGAGGAATAAAACAGAGCTTTTATTACTACAGTTCACCTTACTTAGTAAACTAGGAAGAAAAAAGATCCAATTTAAACTAGTGGGAAGTCTTCATCGTGGATCCATTACAGACATAGTTAAGTTATTTATTGTATTCTCTGCCCTGCTTATTCCGCTCTTCTTGGTTGGGACCGGCATTCCTCGGATGCATCTCATCACTGCTTCCACATCGGCCAATCTCTTAGCTAGTACTTGTTCCATAGGAGAAGGGGACGCCACTAGGTCATCCCGCATGACCGGGCCAGTCTTTGCAATTGTATTCGACACATTCTGTTGGACCGTCCCGTGCGCTGTGATTTGGTGATTCATTGCTTCGCGCACACCTTGGTAGCCTGGATCTTCGTTCATTCCTTCTGGTTGAAAATCTCCCATGGTAACAGTTCTGGTGTTTCACCCTACATGAATGGTCAGTCGAGTCGTCTGATAGTCACTTGGTTCATCAGGATGGACGGGCTCGAGTGTTGTGGTTTGTTGGGTTTGGTCGTTCAACCTGTGTGGGTGAGCCGAGCCGAATGGGGTTTGTGTTGGGAAGGTTGATTGGAGGTAAGGTGGGACGGTAAGAATGGGTTGGTCTTGTGGGTTCAGGCTTTCTGTCATTGGACTGTCTTGATCTTGAGGCTATGATGGGTCGGACGGATGGTGTTCTGTTGGCGTATCTTTACCTCCATGTGTCAGGACAAAATCATCGACTGCCGATGAGTTTAACAGACGCGGCCTTTTTCCGGAGACTGAGGGTTGGTGCTCTGGCGTATGGAGAGGTTGTATGGATGGAACAGGGGGGAACTGATTGGGGGGTGCCTGGCCAGGTAGGAACTCTAGATCATAGAATTGACTCATTTTCTCCTTAAGCGATTGGTTTTCTGAACTGATGGATGCGTTTTCGGCCCGGATTGCATTATTCTCGGCTTCCAGTGCAGCTACCTTGTCCGAGTTCTGTTGCATGAAAGCGGCCAGAGCCTCCAGTTTGGCCTCAAGGCCGGGATTAGCGTTTTCGGAGTTGTCAGCCATGGAAAGTTCCTCTACGTAGCAAGGTTCGTCGAGCCGAATGACTGCTAGAGGCCCCACGGTGGGCGCTAAACTGTAGACGTAAAAATCTACCTGTATGGAAGGGGGGTCTGATCCCGTGAGGTTGAGGCCACTAGCGATCCGCTATACCTGCACACGTAGAGAAACAAACGCGTGAAGCGAACGGGAAACACTAGGGTGGTGTTTGCCGTAGGCACTCCGACGCTCAATTCAGCAAGGCTGAAAGAGGCTAGTATAGTGAGGGCTGGGGAGTAGAGAGGTTACCGGAAGTCTAGTTGGAGACTGTGATTACGGTAGTGATGTGAAACTCTCAAGTTGGAGCTTTGGGTGTGAAGGTGTAATGTAATGTATCCTTTGTGAGAGAGCTGACCACTGTTTATATAGTGACTATCTGGTCTCCCAATCTTGGTAGGAGTAGGAGTCCTAGTGTGACTCTGATGCAACCCTTAGAAGAGTTAGGGCGGTGGTGAGCTGTCTTACCAGCGTCCGAATATGAAAGTGATCCGAACAGGAAAGTCACTTTGAGTAGAAAAATGATCAAGAACAAGAAAGTGACTTCGAATAGGAGATTGATCAGGAATAGGAAAATGATCAGTGGAGGTCATGGGCTCCGAACTCGTCTATAGACTTAGAAAGTGAGCTGGAACTAAGAGGCCCATGCCCAGATGGTTTGGGCAGGTCATATCTCGTATCAAATGGGACTAATCTGGCTTGTTCCTCTTTGGGATTGGGCCTAGTCTCTTCCTCATTGGTGATCTTGTTTTCCTATTTAGGCCAAGAACGATTTTTGGCCCTAACATTCAGTCAATCATTGACCATTATATTAAACAAAAAAAAATTCTTTAACGTAAATATAGATGACCAAACTAATGTGATTCGTCAAATTTTATGCGTGGTGCTGCTTCTGTTAGCCATTGATAAGCTAATTAATAATATTCCAAACTGATAGAGCCTGCGTTTAATAATATAGCATCAGTCAACCAGTCTTTCATTGTAACTGTCATTTCGACAAAATTGTTCAAAGAATGTGCACTGACTAATTAGCAAACAGCTCAAACGAGTGGTCACTAAGTCGAAATCGAATCAATTATATGTGGATAGAAATGCTTCCCTCGCGATTTTCGTTCGCTATGGTCCAAGTTGTACCGTTTTGACTATGTAATATTTAATAGAAAATTAGCACTCAGAACTTCTTCATATATGTTAGGAATTAATATATACACGGTTTTTACAAAAGAGATGAGGTAAATTTCCACCAACCTTCCTACAAGGAACATCAAGGACTCTCTAATGTTTTAGGTGAGGTGTCCTTGTACTGCTCATGTAACAGATTTGCTTTTGCATCGCACTGTGCTCATCTATTGCTGTGGCTAGGTGTTGTTCTCTTATTGGGTTGATTGGATGCCAGTTGTAGTCTTATTGCTGGTCAAGGTATAACTCCTTTCCTTCTGTATTTTCATTTTCTCTCACAAAATGAACTCATTGCTTAGCACCAAATTAACTTATTATAACCATTAATGGGTAGTCTGATGATAAAAGAGTAAAGGAGGATCTAATATAATCTCTCAAATTCGAATCCCATTGATGACAAAAAAATAATTTTAAATTATTATATTGATTTTAGAATGATTTTGTATTAATTACTCATTTTAAAAAATGGACTATTGATTTTTTTTAAAAAAATTGACCCAGATTGCACTGTAGCTGCTTCAACCATTGAGATTAATGACATGTGAATTAAATCATCAATCACAAAAGAAAAAAGAAAAAAAAGACACTACAATTTTAATATGATTTAACTTATAGCTTACATCCACAAATGAAAGAAAAAGACGTTAATATCTCAAAGAATCAGAGTGAAAAATAGAAATTCATACAACTTAATAAGCTAAAACCTAGTGTAAAAAATCCCAAGAAGAGGCCAAATCATATAATACTTTTTAATTATATCAGCAAATTTGAACTCTTTGTGACTTAAGATATTTTCCATTGCAGTTTTTCCGTGTGAATAATTATGACCAAGTAAGTATGAACAAATATGGAGTAAAATTTATTTTCTTTTGAGTTGGGAGCCTTGAGTTACATTTTTGGATGGAGAGTTCGGACGTGATTGAGCGAGAGGGAGTCGCATGGGATGTGGAGAAGACTATATTTGTTGCATTGGGTGAATTGTCGTTTAATCCTCTGTCTGGTTTGCGAATTTTATAAGCTAGATGATTGTATTACTCATTTGTATTTATTTGGACTGTTTGTTTCCCGTTTTGTTTTATTTAAAAGTAATAAATGAAGAATATTAATTTCTTTCGGAAAAGAAAAAATGAATTGACTTTCTATTTTCGAATTAGATTTTATACAAACTTTGATCATATTCTAAGTTTGAGAAGTTTTCTGATAAATTTGTTGCATTATTTGCAGAGGAAAGTAATTATACTGTCGATGAGCTGAAAAAGCATTCAGTTCTAAGCACCTCGTGAACTTGAAACGCAAAAAGTGCAAGAAATTCTAAATCAATATTTGCTTATTCTCAATCAATAAGAGGTATTGTTTCTTCTCGGTATTTGATCTGGATTTTATTTTTATGCATTCTAAAACAAAGTTAGAAGAATAATGATTTTGACATCATTTGTAGCGGTTGGTTATACTGCTACATATTATCCGGTCTTATATTCGAAATTCAAAAGAGTTGTTTGATTTATATATCATCTGTCTATCGATCTTAGACTTCTCATCTGTCTTTCAATTTCTTTCTTTCATCTTTTACCTATTACTGATTTTCTTGATGGCGTAGAATAACATTACTATTCAATATTCAAAGGCAAATCGTCAAACCTGTCTGCTTTTTCTTGTCCGGAATTGACGGAAGAGAAGAGAGATCAAAAGCTGTAGCTTCTCCATTGATTTTAAAACTCCAGCCTAAAATATAATGAGAACTACCAATAGAACCTGTTGAAGAAGAGAAGCCAACATACATGAACTCATGAAAGAATGGTGAAAGATTGACGTTAAAAGACAAGACGGGCAATCTTGGTTTGGAAGAATGTGGAGAGATGGTGACATTTAACAAATTTTCAGATGCATCGTAATAGATCCAAGCCAGGATTGGTTTTCCACTTATGAGACTCAAGTTTTGTTTCGTTAAACTGTCATCGAAGTGGGCTGCAGTTGAAGAGACATTCGAAATCAAGCTGTTGATGTCGATGCCAACATGGTTGCCGTCGATGTCGTAAAACTCAGGACTTTGAACTGTATCAAACTCAACAGCACATAAATGATTTGATAAGTTTCCCACGTTGGTTTCATTAAAGAGGCCTAGGTACTGACTTGGACGACCATTGAGGTCTTTTGATCCTGAGATCGTGAAGGCCAGGCCATGGGCACCAAGGGTTGGATATTGAGGGACAACACCTAGATCAAAAGAGGTAGAGAAAGAAAAGACTTGTCCATATGTGGAGTTCTTTAACTGGATCGGCAAGCTATAGAAGGCTTGACCTTGTATTTGTAGACCGGTATCGTTTGTTAAGCAAAGAGCGCCATCTTTCTGAAATTTTGCAGCTTGACTTAAGGTTAGGTTGGCTCAAATCTTTGAATCCTGGAAAATAGAGTTCATTTTCATTGAGTTGGGATGATTCTGGAATGGAGAGAAAGAGGAAAGCAGAGAAAAACATGAGAAAATTTCTGGCCATGGATAAGGAAAAAAAGGGAAAGAACTCTGGACGCTTGAATAAAAAACAACTAGATAAGATTTTGAAGAGGTTAAGAGAGTCAAACTGAAAGAAAATCAAAGAAGAAGAACCAGTAAGTGAGCTGGTTCGAGTGTTCTGTATTTGTTAACTGTAAGAGAAAGCTACAGTGTTTTATATAGAGAATTTAGACAGACTAAAACGGCACCGCATGACAACAAGTCTTTGTACCTAATTACAAAATTACCCTTATTGATATTTGGTCAACACTCAACATTCCCCCTTAAACCAAGCTACATACATAAAGATCAACTTGTTTCTTTCACTTGAACATTCTCCTGAAAGCTAAACTTATTAGAGAGCAATTCTTGTTGTCTTTTGAAGTTTTCTGAACTGAACTTGAAGATTGAAAAACATCTCTTGATCATAATCAATTCTTAATCACTTCTTATCAACTCCCAGCAGTAAGACAACAACACCATTTCTTATCAAATCACAGCAGCAAGACAAAGTACACAACAACACCATTTTTTAATCAACTCACACCAGCAAGACAAAGACATATCTCCTTCAGCAACTTAAAAACTGATACTGCAACATCACACAGCAGAAACACTTCTTTATCTCTACAGTTCAAATACAACATCATTCTGATACTGCAACATC